AGGCCCCAATATAATTCAATATATTTGGAAGGGGGTCCTTAAATATACCCCGGGGAGTGATTCTGAAAACAATTCGGGTCACTGGCTCTCCAACATTTTAATTGACAGGCAAGATATATTAAGATGCATTAGGCCCAATTCTCAAAGCTTCAAAGCTTTGACACCAGTCCAAGGCAGCCATGCCTAAAAGGGGGCATACTCAAGGAATATACCGAAGGACTGCGTGAGTGAGGGAACTGAGTCGGTATTTACAGGCCAGACTCCTCCCACAGGTCAGGGCTATATATATATATGTAAGAAGGCTGGCTTGTGGCCAGCCTGAATTTGTGGGAGGAGTCTGGCCTGTAAATACCGACTCAGTTCCCTCACTCACCCATATTTTCGTTATATTCCTTGAGTATGCCCCCTTTTAGGCATACTGTCCATGGCGACCAAGGCACACCCCAGACTCTGACCACAAATATATATATATACTTGTTGGGGTGTGTTAGTTTTTTTGAATTGAGTCTACAATACGGTGAAATATTTGGCGGAACCCTCGATTATCACACATAGAGGAGTTTGCTGGGCATTGAATTCCAAATCCAGGCACCTAAAATGAAAAACTTAATCGGGGCAAACATTATTAGCATACCAAGGCCGTTGTAGACAATTGGGCTCTTCCAACCTTGTGATACCATTTTGGTGAAGGCTCTTTTCTGTTCCACCATGACTGTCCCCTGTGTACAAAGCCAGCTCCTGAAGACACGTCTTGACGAGTTTGGTGTGGAGGAACTTGAGTGTCCTAGACAGAGCCTTGACCTCAACCCTACTGAACATGACTGTCCCCCTGTGTACAAAGCCAGCTCCATAAAGGTATGGCTTGACCAGTATGGAGTGGAGGAACTTGAGTGTCCTAGACAGAGCCTTGACCTCAACCCTACTGAACATGACTGTCCCCCTGTGTACAAAGCCAGCTCCATAAAGGTATGGCTTGACCAGTATGGAGTGGAGGAACTTGAGTGTCCTACACAGAGCCCTGACCTCAACTCTACTGAACATGACTGTCCCGTGTACAAAGCCAGCTCCATAGAGACATGGCTTAACCAGTATGGAGTGGAGGAACTCAAGTGTCCTAGACAGAGCCTTGACCTCAACCTTACAGAACATGACTGTCCCCTGTGCACAAAGCCAGCTCCATGGAGACATGGCATGACCAGAATAGTGTGGAGGAACTCCAGTGTCCTAGACAGAGCCCTGACCTCAACCCTACTAAACACCTTTGAGAATGCGAGCCAGGACTGCTCATCCAACATCAGTACCTGACCTCTCAAATGCTCTTTTGGCTGAATGAGCACAAATTCCCAAATTCTCCAAAATCTTATGGAAAGCCTTCCTAGACAAGTGGCCAGGCGGTGAAATGTCTTAGGACATCCCCGTATTCATCTGTCCATCTATCCATCCTTCCATCCACCTATTGGTGCTACAACGTACAGTGGACCTCTGCTTTCTTCAAGGGTTTTTGTCAATCCTATTGACTGGGACTGACGGGTTTGCAATGTCATCACCCTAACCTAGCTGAGTTCTCTTGAATCCTTCCTGACCAGGGTAGTTTCGCTCTTCCTTTAATCCTATCACAAGTTATAAAACTTTTCCGTCAGGATCATTTTCATGCAGTCATGACTTGCCATGTCAAAGAGACACCAAAAATTAAAAAAAGTAAATAAATA